GTTTTTGTTTTTCCCTGGTACCAGGAATCGAACTCACGACCTTGCACTTGCCAGGGAGGTGCTGTGCTGCTGAGCTAAATCCCCAGCCCCAGCGGGCATATGTTTTCAAAAACAAGATTCTCTGTGATTCATAACTACTACTTGCTGTTGGCATTCACTAGATATACTTTGGCACAATTTGAATTTTTCACTATGAGATATACTGCCTATTTTTTAAAAAAATAAGTTAAATGAAAAAGATAGAAGACATAATACTATTACTTCTCAAATTCTTTAATGAAACTGAAAGGGAAACAATACTCCCAAATTCATTACTGGAAGCAAGCATTACCCTGATACCAAAACCACAGAAGAACCCAACTAAGAAAGAGAATTACAGTCCAGTCTCCCTAATGAACACAGACGCAAAAATCCTCAATAAGATACTGGCAAACAGAATGCAGCAAATCATCAAGATGATTATACACCATGACCAAGTAGGATTCATCCCAGGGATGCAGGGATGGTTCAACATATGTAAATCAATAAATGTAATACACTGTATTAACAGAGCCAAGGACAAAAATCATATGATCATCTCAATAGATGCAGAAAAGCATTTGACAAAGTCCAGCACCCATTCGTGATAAAAACCCTACACAAAATCAGAATAGATGGTCTTTATCTCCCATTCAAGTACTAACCCGGCTGACCCTGCTTAGCTTCCGAGATCAGACAAGATCAGGCGCATTCAGGTGGTATCTACCTGATAAAAGCCATCTATCACAAACCAACAGCCAACGTCATACTAAATGGACAAAAACTGAAAGCTTGCTTTCTAAAATCAGGAACAAGACAAGGATGTCCATTATCTTCACGCTTATTCAACACAGTCCTGGAAACTTTAGCCAGAGCAATTAGACAAAGAATAAAAGAAATAATGATAGGAAAAGAAGTTGTTAACTTATCATTACTTGCTGATGACATTATACTCTACATGGAAGACTCCAAAAACTCCACTAAGAAACTGCTAGATTTAATAAGCAAACTCTGTAGCATAGCTGGATACAAAGTCAACACTCAAAATCAATAGCCTTCCTGTACATGAACAACAAAGTTACTGAGAAATTAGGGAAATAACACCTTTCACAATAGCACCCCCAAAAATGAATACCTAGAAATCAATCTAATGAAGGATGTAAAAGACTCTACATTGAAAACTACAGTGCTCTGAAAAAGGAGACTGAAATGGATATCAGAAAATGGAAAGAGGCTGGGGATTTAGCTCAGTGGCACAGCGCCTGCCTGGCAAGCGCAAGGTCATGAGTTCGATTCCCGGTACCGGAGAAAAACCAAAAAAAAAAAAAGAAAATGGAAAGATATTCCTTGCTCTCCAGTAAGAAGAACCAATGTAGTGAAAATGGCAGTACTTCCTAAACTGTTATACAGATTTAATGCAATTCTGATCAAAATTCCTACAGCATATCTCGCAGAATTAGAGAAAATAATCCTAAAATTCATTTGGAACCAAAAGAGACCTAGAGTGTGGAGAAGGACATTCCTTAGTTACTGTTTTGTGTATTGCCTGAGGCCTGACCAAGCCATGATTGTTGGGTTCTGGAGGAAGTCTAGCATAAGCACTGTAAGCCCCAGGATCAATACTAGAGGCTTTGCTGAGATGTACCGGAAGGAAGATAACATGATGGCTAACCAGTCAAGTCGCATTCCTGATAATTGAGTTGTATTGTCCTTGCTAAAACAGTTGATATCTTCCATTCCTCTGCTGCCTCCTGGGTTGATTCTGAATAAAAGGTTAGTGAGGATGGTAATCAGGGCTCAGTCCTAGAGGCTGCTAGCACCTGATCACAAGATTTTGGCTCTCTTGGTTTGATTTTTTTTCTTACTTTTCTTTTTTTTGTTTTTTTTTCCAGTACTGGGAATCGAACTCACGACCTTGCGCTTGCCAGGCAGGCACTGTGCCGCTGAGCTAAATCCCCAGCCCCTTTTTCTTACTTTTCTTATACATCTGTGGGTACCTAGTTCAAGGGACCTGTTCACTCTGGACAGGGATGGATGAGAAGTCCGACACTAGAGTAGCAAAGGCAATTCTGCGCAACAAAGGCAAGGCTGGGGGCATCACAATCCCTGACTTGAAATTATACTATAAAGCTACTGTGATTTAAAAAAAATAAAAAAATAAAAAGACCAGCATGGTACTGGCACAAAAGCAGAGCCAAGGATCAGTAGAACAGATTAGAAGATGCATAAACAACTTTAGATACACTCAGCCACATGATCTTTCACAAAAGTGCTAAATACATTCACTGAAGAAAGATAGCCTCTTTAATAAATGGTGCTGGAAGAACTGGCTCTGCACATGCTGAAGATTAAAACTGGACCCGTATCTTTCAACATGCATTAAACTAAATTCAAAATGGATCAAAGCTCTAAATATTAAAGCAGAAACATTAAATTTCCTGGAAGACAGAATAGATAAAATGCTTGAAGACACTGGTATTGGCCAAGAATTTATGAATAAAACCCTTATCACACAGGAGCTATCACAGAGAACCAACAACTCATCTTATTATCTCATCTTATTAGAAAGCTTTTGCACAGCAAGAGAAACCACCAACAGCGTGAAGAGCCAACCTACAATGTGGGAAAATGTTTGCCAGCTCTTTATCAGACAAAGGATTACTATCAAGAACATATAAAGAATTAAAAAAAAAAAGACCTCCCAAATTTAAAGACCCAATCCAAAAATGGGCATCTCGGGCCCTGGATACAGCTCAGTGGCACAGCACTTGCCTGGCAAGCGTGAGGTCCTGGGTTCAACTGCTGGTACCAAAAAAAAAAAAAACAAAAGGGGGGGACAAATGAGAGGAATACATACTTCTCAGATGAAGAAATACAAACAGCAAATACATGTACAAAAAAATGTCCAACATCACTGGTCATTCAAGAGATGAAAATTAAAGCAAAAGCAAGATTCATCTCATGCTGGAAAGAATGGATAGTATCAAGAAATCAACCAATAACAAATGCTGGAGGGGCTGTGGGAAAAAAGGAACCTTCTCCACGGTTGGTGGGAATGTAGACTGGTGCAACCACTGTGGAAATCAGTGTGGAGATTCCTCAAAGAACTAGGACTGGAGGTCCCATTTGACCCAGCTATTCCCCTGCTGGGTATCCTCCTAAAAGAATTAAAAACACTGTAGCATAGCAATACATGTGCGCCTGTGTTTATAGAAGCATAATTTGTAATAGCTAGATCTTGGAAACAACACAAACGCCATTCCAACTACGGAACGGATAAAAAAAGATGTGATCTTTTTATACAGCGGAGTACTACTCAGCCATAAAGATGAATAAACAGGAGACTTTTATAGGTAAACGAATATAACTTGAGACTATTCTCATAAGTGAAATAAACCTGACACACATGTGTAAACATCATACTATCTCCCTACTGTGAGAAGCTGAAAGAATAAATAAGATCCAAAATGTACAATAGATATTGTAAAATGGGAAGAAACTTCAAAAGGAAAGAGAAACTGGGATGGGGTAATGGAGAAAAGAAAGGAAAAGAAAAAAGAAAAAAAATATATATATATACACACACACACATACATACAAGATAGACAGCTGTACTACTAATTCCTCTTAGTTCACTGAAAAGAAAGGTTTGTGCTAATATTGTTTGGTCAATTAAATGCTGATATCTTGTACTCTGAGTAATTAATTTAAAGATAACAATAGGCAATGTATTAATCATTGTTACCCTCCTATTATCTTGTTTTGAAATTGTTTTTTCTTCTCTTTAAAATAAAAATAAATAAATAAACAAACAAACAAACAAAAAGACTGCTTTCCCTTTAATACATAGTTGAAGCCAGTTTATTGAGAAAGCGGGAGCTTTGCCTAGAGGAGGGAGAGAGCACTGACACGAGGAGCAGATCTTGGGGTAGGGAAGACGGTGTGAAAATCCCCACAGCTGGGGAAGAGAGCTCCTAGAGCAGACAGGAGTCAGGCTGGATGTGGGGGTGCAGACAGTGAGGTCTCTCGGAGAAAGCCTCCCTTCTCCAGGACAGAACTTTACAGGGCTTTCAGCCTTCCCGTCTTCTACTCCAGAGCACCGCTGACGAGCATCCCAGTTCACTACTGTAGGAAGACTTTCAACCTGACCGAGGCTAGAACTACAAATGTTACCACGACGTACGCAGAAAGTGCACCTGGGTGCCACGCGGACAGTGCAGACAGTGGTGGTACGCAGTCCACTTCTACGGTGGGGAGGTGTCTTAGCGCACAATGCCAAATTTGAGCTCAGCAGGGGAGCCTCAAGTTGCCACTATGAGCTTGGCACACAGAGATGCTGAGCTAGGTCAGTTGGACACAGAATGCCTGGGAAATGTCACCCAGCACTGCTGAACCCGCCTTTAGGATGACAGGACCCACAGGGGCAGCTCAGCACTGACATCCTGTCCAGAGGCCCTGCATGCCAGGACGGGGAGAAGGGCTGCTGGGTATCAGACCTCAGCTCCTGGCTGCACCCCCATTTATACTGTTCCCAGTCATGTCTTACTCCGCCATCTGTGGAAACCTGAAAGGCTGGCTTCCTTTGCTCACGTTGTCAAATTAAGGCACCACACGTCACCATTACCCAAGCACCGCAAAACACACCGCAAGTGAGGTACTTTGCTTCTTTAAGAAAGAAGACTAGCTCAGGTATTAATTTCTACAGGTAAATGATCTCTTTCCCTCCATCCCTCTTGTGTTTCGGGTGGTACTGGGGACTGAACCTAGGTAGTGCCAGGCTACATCCCTGGTCCTTTTTATTTTTGAGACAGGATACCACTAAGCTGCCAAGGATGGCCTTGAACTTTCCATCCTCCCACACAGCTGGGAGTAGAGGTGGGAGCCACCAGGCCTAGCTAAACGATTTTTATTAAATGATCACATTCACAAACCCAGACTTTTTCTTGCAAAGCAGGTGTGTACAGTCCAAAACACAAACTTACTCATCATCGTCTTTTGGTGGACTTCCCTTTCTTTCTGCCAAACTGAGGTGATCCAATTTTTTGCTCTTTCCTATATGTATGTAATAAAGAAAAGAACATGAGGTTAAGAAAGAATTTGTCAAAGTTAAGTAAATGTAGACTGTCAAATTCACACAGAAAATAAAGGGCGAAAGATCTCCGATTTTGGATTTACAGTCCTGGGCTTGTCATTTTCCACACGTGCTGAAATCAGGTCCCCTGTGCAACTGAGGTTTTCGTTGTGACCCCTCTCACTGCAGGAGCCTGGCTTGCTCTGGGATTCCTTTGTGTGTTAGGCTACATGGTAACTGATGCTCAGGGCCCAGCACACTGCAGGAAACCTGAAGCCTCAGTCACCCCTGGGGTCACAGCAAGCAGCCCTGCAGCCCTGGGTAAGGTGCTGAGTGGGGCTGTGTATGTACACCACACCGTCTTTTCCCAGTTATTACCTGCTGGTCCACAGTGCGCAGACTCCCCACTCTGGCTACTGTGAGTAACCTGCAGTAACAGAGGAGCGCAGACATTTCTCCGACCTTGACTGCATAACCTGGGCGTGTGAATACACACCCAGTGAAGGGATTGCTGGATCATATGGTAGCTCTACATTTAACTTTAAATGCTATACAGTCAATCCTTGGGAATATCTTTATACAGGTTGAGCATCCCTAATCTGAAAATCTGAAATCCAAAATGCTCCAAAATCTGAAACTTTGAGTGCAGACTTTTCAGCTTTTAAGGATGTTCAGCTGGTAAAATCTATGCAAATATTCCAAAATTCAAAAAACTCTGAAATCTGTCTGGTCCTGAGCATTTCAGATAAGGGGTCCTCAATCTGTAAAATATGAAACTTGTTAGAAGTATTTTTATTTTGCACAGAGTAAAAGGAATAGTTAAAATGCTATGCAGTTACCAAGGGCCATGACTTATCTAAATGCTCACAAGTGTCACACGTTAACAGAAGCGCAATGGAAGATGTGGAAGTAAACTGAGTCATGATCCCTGAGGTCTTGGGGCCTAACGGTGAGCCTGATGCTAACAGCAGGGTGCTTGCGGCCACACAATCAGCTGCTTTACAAACGGGCACTTCCGTGCTTGTTCCGGTGTACTCTGTAGAACTGCACACACTAACTTCAAACATGTCTCATGTACAATATGCAGGTATTTGAGGACACGTATCGGCAAGTGCAAGATTCCCAGTGTCAGATATATTCTAGCTTTTGACAAATGTTTACTGACAAAACAAGCAACAGAATGAATAATCCACACTCTCTACTGCTAATGAAAAAGTCAATAGGAACGAACTTTTTAAAATGTAAGTGGTAACACCCTTTGTCCTCATGCTATGTATTTTTACATCATATAGCTCCTCTGTTCAACCGTTGCTGCTGGGTCACTATCAACTCAATGTTACTATTTTACTAGACCTCCTTACTGTAATGGGACCATGAAAACCTCTAGCCCACACTTTCCAACAGAAATATAATATGAGCTATTTATGTAATTTTAAATCTTCTACTAAATTTTAAAAAACAGGTCAAATAAACTTTAATATTTTATTTAACCCAATATAAGAATTTAATTTAACATCAATATAAAATTCATAATTTATGTGTTTTCAACATTAAGCCCTTGAAATCTGATGCCTACTTTATACTTATATTTCAATTCAGACCGGTTACTTTCCAAATGCTCAGTAAGTCACACACGTAAAAGAAATCAATAGTCACACGTACTGGACGTTGTAAGTCCAGGTCAGTGACAGCGAACCTTTCAGAGTTTTCAATGATAACAGAGCCACTGTGGCACGAGTGCTGCAGGTGTGCCACCACTGCTCTACGTAACGCCGCAGGAAGATCCAATTCTTCCAGATGAAAGAAAACAGATAATCAGAGGACCATTTTTTTCAACTGTAATATATTAACATGCTAAGAATTCCTGTCCAGAATAGTCTTTCTAATGCTAGTTTACATTTTTCCTCCAGTTGTTGCTCTATGACTCTCTCCTGCTCTTCTTACCAGGAGAAAAGCTTATTTAAAGTGTATGTGCAGCCAGCATGGTGGCGCATGCTTGTAATCCCCGCACTCTGGGAGCACAAGGCAGGAGGATCAGAAGTTTGAGCCCAGCACAGGCAACTCAGTGATGCAGCAAGACTGTCTCAAAATACGAAAGGGCTGGCAGCGTAGCTCAGTGGAAAGGCCACGTTCAACCCTCAGTATCACAAAAACCGCGTATTTTCTACTCACTGGTACTTACAATTCCACTAAGCCAACTAAATCAGGAATTAACAATAACTTCCCTCATCATTACTTTGCACTTAGATCCTTCCTAAAAAGATACCCTATCAGAACTAGATTATCACCTCTAAACATTCTTTAATGGCAACAGATAAAAACTTATGATTTAGAAATTTTGCTAAAGTACTTAGTTTTTCCTCTTTAATTAGTTTTTCATTATTTCACATTCATGAATATGGTTAAAAGTTTATTTAGTAAATCATGTAAGGAGAAAACAGTATTAATATGATTTTAGAGAATTTTGGAAGAAATAATTTATTAAAATCTGTCTCTAAAAAGAAAAAACAAGCTGAAAGTATATGTTTTGTAGAAAACTAGAAGTGAAAACCCAAGTTATTCATTTAACTTTTATTTCAGAAAATCTTTGCCTGTATTTTATACTATGCTGTTTACATTCAGTAATGATCAAAAACTTAAATATTAAAATTACTTTGCTCTTTTAACTTGTAATTCACCTTCACATTTCAGCACCAGCAGTCAGTAATGTTAGGTAAGCAATAGTGCGGGATGTCTCCTACTAAAACTCTCATCAGGTATGTAAGGCCTTTCTAAACATACTATTGTAAAACCATTGGTCATACATATATCTCACTTTGTAACACGAGGGTCAATAACATTAACCTCATTGAAAGACATGTTTTTAAATGCTTTTCAATTGCTAAAGGGGAGTTTTAATATCTCTTGGAAAAACGTGCAGGTCAGTTATCAGAGACTGCTGAGTAGTCAGTAAAAATTTTCTAGACTTTTCTTAAGTCTAAATAATAACGGTATTAATAAAAATAATCAAAATATATATGGAACATCTGCTATCTGAAAGGTGACTGTTCTGAGTGCTTTTGGTGTATTAATTTAATTCTCACAAGAAGGTAGGCATTACCATCTCCCCCCTTTTAGCAGTAAGCAAAAACAAAATTAAAAATTAACTGAAACATATCCCATCATCTGTCTAAAAACAGAAAGGCCTGTAAACATATTAACTTCAATCTATTCCCTTCCTACCTTCCATGCTAGTGTGGGCTATGATTTGACTTTAACCCTCAGGTTGTTTGATTTTTGTTCATAGTCGGCAAAATGTGTGATTAGGTTTTCAGTATCAGCTCCGTAGCCGGATTCACTAACTCATTTCTCGCCACTCTCTACCTTCCAGCCCTCGAGTGGGCTCCATCCCCTTCGTGAAGAGGCACATCCTTCAGGAACCCTTGCAGTGCGGGCCTGTGAACAGGACCCTCACCACACTTGGAGACCGCTAATCATCCTCACTTCTTGAATAAAAATCTGGCTGCATGTCCGCTCCGTCTTCCATTTCTGGTGGAGTCTACTACTACTGATGAGAACACACCCTAGACCTGTCACTTTCTCATATGTGATGTCTTTTCTCTGGTGCCTTTAACACATTCACTTTGATGCTCTGCAGTTTTACTCTGAGGTTACTAGGTGTGAATGTTTCAATTTATCGTGCCCCGACTAAGCAAGCTACTTTACTTGGGAAATTTCCATCCTTCCTTAACTAGAACACCTGACATCCCGTGGAGCGCCTGCGGCAGGTGCTGCAGCTTCTGCCTCTGCTCAGCGTCTCTCCGTCTGTCAGTCTCCCTCTCCTCAGGCTGTCGCGCTGCTACAACCCCGGCAGTCTCTGCACCCCTGCAGCCCTGTGAGTGACTGCCAGTGTTCAGCTACGCAGATGTGCTCACCCTCTTCTCATCCATCAGCAACACGTCTCAGGTGTTCTTGGTAGTAAAGGGGAAAGAAACCACTACCCTCCTTCCTCTTCTCCAAAATGCACAAGTTTGGGAAAACTTGCAAAGGGAAATAAACCATACGGTAACACACGTACACTAACACCTAGCTCTTAAATGTTTAAATGAACTGGAGCACATCCTCTGTTTTTGGCCCATGTAGATTCCACAGAGGAGGAAGATACAAAACCGGATTTTTCTTTCGTGATCACAAACGGACCCTGTTCTCACGCTCCAGGTTCAGCTGCGCACAGAAAGCACAGGCCACTGTCAGGAGGAAGAGCATTCCGAGGGGAAAGCCCTGCGGCGCACTGAGCCGGCAGGGCAGGGAGGGGCTCAGCAGGGCTGAGGCCAGCGCACGTGAAAGTGCATGCGGGATAGGGAGTCAGGAACAGAAAATGAGGCGGACGTGGCAGTCAGGGGAATGTGTGGCTTTAAAAGTCACAGTAAGTGTTCTGGATTTCAGCCTAAGTATAAAGGGAGGTGGGTCACAAATAATGTGTCCTTGAGAACATTATTTAAAGTTTACATTATGTTTTGAACAGTATTTTAAAGGGGAAATTGTTAGTGGAGGTTGTGACCTCATTTGGAACTTACATGACCTCATAATTCGTATTTATTTGGAACTCAAGTTACCACGTAAGAGTAAGCCTTTTTTATTTTTTAATTTATTTTGGAACTGGGAATAAAACTCAGGACCTCGCACTTTCTAAGCAGGCACTGTGCTCCCCAGCCCCAAGCCTTTTTTATTTTTAAAACATGTAGAAGATGACATATGAGGATGACCAGTGCAATGCTTACAAATGCTAGAATTTAATTCAGGATCCTGGATAACACTGTCCTGTTTTGAGTCCCCTAGACATGGATATACATGCGATAGAGGACATAAAACATGTATGTGCAGTCTAATGAACAAGCATGGTGAATCAGCTCCGTCTAACCAGCATGGAGGTCGAGAGAGAACACTGCCAGCATCTCAGAAACCCCTGGTATCTGACTTTTCAAAAAAGAGCTTACTTAGTACTATAATCTGTGATAATTACCCACTTAAATGTCAACTGAAATCATATGACCAATCTTTTTATGGGCAAAAAGAATGTTCCCTTAAGTCCATATTTAATTTTAATATGGAAATTAAGTACATATCAACTTAAAAATCTATTCACATTTTGGTTTAAAGATATGCAATCTCTAAGCCATTAATTTTTAATTAAAAATACATCAGATATATAGAACTAAGGAGCTTGAGGAAAATATATATTTTCATAAATTTTTGTGAAGGCAAACCTAACAGTAATAGCTTTAAGATAAAAATATTTGATAAAGTAAAATCAAAGATATTCAAAAGTTTAAGATTTCATTCTGTGTCATTTTAACAACTTAGGTAAAATAAAAAGACTTGTTTCTGTATTTGTTCTAGTATATACTTAGCACTCAATGAATATTAATAAGATGAATTAGGCTAATCACAGCTTATCTAAAATACCTTTTATTAAATTTGAGCCTATTTAAGGTTTTCTGTTATAGAAACTGACATGTCACTGACTGATGACCTTTGTCAGTATAAAAAAACTAAATCTATGAAATTGAGGTCTATAGTTTTAAATTAATATTTTAGCAATAAGCTACTAGACAGCAACAAATAGATATGGTCAAAATTAGTATTTTAAAATAAGAACTTCACATTAAAATTGTTTTTCTCTGGAAAATTCTATAAACTTTTTGCAAATGCATTTGCAATAGATGAAAAAAGGGAATGAAATACAATGAATAAAGCCAAAGTACAAAAATATACACTCGGTGTGGATAAAACTACGTGGACAACGTGGATAAAATAACATTTCAGGCATTCTCTACATTGTAGTGCAGCAGTGCTTGAGTTATGTGCCCTTTAATTTATGCACATGATGGATAGCGGGGCAGGGGTGGATCTGTGACCAGTATAATTGATAGTAGCTGAAGGCAGTCAGGCCATAATTCCTGTTTAATGGATGAGATAGTAACGGAACAAAGTCTGCAGTAGCATGTTAAAATAAGTGCTAGAAAGTTTACCTTTCTGTACAAAGTAATGCCTACATTCTAGCCTTGTCTATGTTAAATTCTTTAAGAAAAGAGAAAAATCAGCTTCAGCAAGATCCATATATTACTAAATCAAAATACCGATTTAACCAATCACTAAAAAAAAATCTTACTGTAAGTGGAAAAGAATGTTCAACTAACCATTTGATGGTCTATTTCTATGCTCCGGTTTTTCAGAGCTTGTGGGAGAAGAAAACGGGCTCATCTGACAAGTTCCAGTTGTTGGAGAGTAAGCTGTGATACTTCTCCTCTTTCTGATTTTTGAAGGACCAGATGACTGGAAATAAATAATAATTTGAAACAGAAATATGTTTAGTTTTATGTCTTTGAAAATACCTTTAAAAACCCAGCAAAATTCAAACCAATACCATTACCTTTCCTTTTCAGATTTTAAATATACGCAATCATCACTTTCAAAATGAACACCGTTCTTTCACATTAGGTGTACATTTCAGGTCTCTACAATAACTAAGGTGTCTCAACTTGATATTTATGACATTTTAACACAAACAGGTTGCTACCTTCTGAGGCAATCTACCCCAAGGTTTACAGATGACTGGCCCTCAAAACCAGATCCTTACCTTTAATTTCAGCTCAACTTGAAATACAACTACGGGGCCTAGCCAGGAAAAGTGCTCAGGTGCTTATCACCAAGGCCTACAAGGAAACCCTGGGATGGCTCGGTGCTGTCCTAACCCTTTACTGCAGTTCTATGCTGGAACCAAGAGAACATGCAAACACTGGCACCTGCCATGAAAGCCCTTGAGCTTATGCCCTAAGCCACACAAATCTTCTCTGCTGCTTCCTCCGCTGGGCTGTGTATATGTATGGAAAGAAATATGTTTTTTTTCTCCAAAACAAAAAATTGTAATTTAAAATTTTAGCTATAAAAATTTTTTGACACTATAAATTCTGTAAGTAATACCACCATTATTGAAAAAGGGTGATAGTCACTGTGGTGCGGACCTCTTACTGTGGATAACACATTTTGGTAACATTTTACATTTCTGTTTACCCATCAGAATTTGCTTCTGAAGTAGTATGATTTCTTCATCTTGGTACTCCTAGAGAACTAGAAAGTGCTTAAGGAACGAATGTTTCAAAAGAAATAGTTCAGTAAACTCAGCCACACCGCTGTACACAAAATGTACTCATTTGCTCACGCTCAGCATTCACTGGCTCCTCGGCTTCAGTTATGAGGCCGTGCACAACATCTGAATGTCAGACCACTCTGTGGTCTCAGCTTGTCAAGCGTCTTCCTTATCTTCCCCAAGACCTACTCTTTCCTCAGCTTAGGCCTCCAGTCATGATCCACTTTCTCTGAACATTCATGATCACATTATTAATTGTCTGCTCTCTGAAATTCTCCTAAACTTGCTTTCCATAATGATTACTGATCACTCAAGAACTGCTGACAAATGGATATAAGGAAATACGACACATCACTCCAGCCTGCAGAAATGAGGTTCTCTGTGAGGGTGTATGTTACAGAAACTGAGAAAAGGGTGAAAATCCAAGTGGGTTCTCTGAAGGATTCTTGTGAGATCGAAGGCTAAGGCTTAGGCAAGGCATAAACACAAAAAGCACAAAAACACGAAATCTAGAGATGAAACAGATGTAGGATTAGGGTCTGAGGCTCATATGCTACCAGCATTGCAGAGCTAGTCTGTCTTGGCTGCTTGAAATAATTCTCTGTGATCAACTATCCTTTACTGCTAAGACACCAACGGCAAAAACAGTGACTGTGACCCTTTTTTAATAATCTTGGTATCAGTTACACAAAATTCATAGTATAAAAAAAATTTTATAGCTAAGATTTTAAATGATAATTTTTGTTCTGGAGAAAAAACATATTTCCTTCCTTACATATACACAGTAGCCATGATATATCACAATCTTTAAAAAGAAGTCAAAGTATAATGCCAAGTTATAACTCTAAAGCAATCTTAGGGTGAAAGGGTTTTAAGTCTCTATCAGGTGGTTACTGTGACTGCTCCATCTTGAATTTTCATCTCTTTATATGGATTCAGTCACAAACTATGACATTTATCCAATCCCTATTCTACTTTTCCAAGAATTTATTGCCCCCAACTATTTCACTCTGTATTTACCAGAAATGAAAGTCACAACCCTAATGTACATTTATGTCAATCTGTTTTCCTATTTTCACCAAAAATTATTTTATCCAATTGCCAAATGTCTAAACATAACAACTGTAGATAATAATTTCTTCTTGAAAACAATTTTCTAGCCTTCAGAAAATACCGCGCGCGTGCATGTATCCTCACTTTAAAAATAGTCTTTTTTGTGGTTGTTCCCTCTGTTGGTTAATATAAAAAAATGTGTCTACAGCTACTACATGGAGGGAAAACTGAGAATCTACCCTTCCCTACTCTCCCACTAAATATTCTTCAGTAAATGAGGCATTTTTATTTGTTTGTCCTCCAGATATACACAAAGGTGCCATCTCACTTCCCTAAGTTTTCTATCCCTCAAGGTTTTCCCAAGGTCCTCTAGCTCTTAATCCCTGACAGTGCTTGAAAGTAAGCCTAGCTTGCATCTGAGAATTTCACTTTGCCACCCTCTAATCTTTACAGGACTCAGCTTACTCACTGGTCTCCCACGAAGGGAAGAGCTAAGAAACCTGCAACTGAGAAAGACGAAGCCACAAGCTGCAAAGCCAGGGCACCTTCCACTCAGCAAGGGCGAGCACCAGAGCAGACTCCTAAGAAAAGCAGAGAGAAAAAAGGCCAGAGGCAAAGATCTGGGTAGAAAAGGGAAAAGGTGTGGGATGCCAAAAAAGGCAGGGAGACCTGTCTCAACCACTTCTATAATAATTCACAAGTGCCTCTAATATTTACTGACTCCTTAAGAGATGTTTAATGCCACCACTAAATCGAAAAAATATGCCATGTTCTAAGATTTGGTCTATGGTCAGCCCAAATGTCAGCGAGCTTCTTGTAAAGAGGTCAAACCTTGCACATTAGCAAAACTAAAATTTGGGCATTGATTTTTCTGCCTTAGGAAAAAATCAATGTTCTCTCTATAATTTCAAATAGAAATGACATTCTCCTTCAATATCCTTCACAAATTGTAGCCTGCTTCGTCACCTTATTTAGAACATATTCTACCAAGAAGGTGCCTGCATTTCATTGATTTTTTACCCACTATAAACAGTCTAGAAAGTACTAACTAAGGATTCTTTCGTGGATAAAATATGGGGTACAAGGGATCTGCTGTTATTATCAACTACTAGCCTATGCTGTCACTGAAATATTTAAAACACAGGTTCTCTAGGTATTTGGCTAACTGGGAATGAAAGGACAGCTAAAGAGAAGTAAATTCTTACAACCTTACAGGGGCTAATGAGGTTACTGGAACATCTTACTTAAGACTAACTATGGAGTTCTTATGAGAAAACTAAACAGCAACTGTGCTAGGCACTTTTCACATTCTGGGTCTAGATCAGTGATGAAGCACCTTTTAGAGAGGAGTGTCAACCCATAATCCTGTTATATATTGCAAAGTTCCAGCACTGTGATTAAACCTGAAGGCTGAGGTTTTAGTTTAGAAAAAACAACTCGTACATTAACATCTTTTGTCTTAAAAGAAAACTAACACATGTGCCATAGGTTTGTCACCACTGGCCTAGGGTTACTAGAAGAGAAATAGATACCAACTAACTTAGCAGCTACCACAATTACCATTCACAGAGGACTCTACAAACATGGGGTTTTCTTGCTGTTTTTATGGCAGCTATGGAGAACAAATCATTCTGTGGTTATCTCAGGATCTTACTGAGGGTAATTTGTGGTAATAGAAACATTCTATTTCATGACTGAGAATTTGATACACAATATTATACATTTGTTAAAACTCACTGAATTGTACACTCAAAATCTGTGAATTTAATATGTATATTTCACCTTAAAGATGTGTACTTCACCTTTTTAACAAAATAAATAAAATTCTGGCTAAAATCTTTTATACACTAGTTTTTCTATTTGTGCTCATTATTATTCTGCAATTTCACATATTAATTATTAATAGTAAAGATTTTTTTGTTACTGTCTTACACTTGTCAAGAAGATGCCTTGGTTTTCGGTTTTTTTTTTTGTTTTTTTTTTTTGAGACAGGGTCTCATCCAGGCTGGCCTTAAATTCACTATGGAGCCTGGGTTGGCCTCACATTTGCAGTCATCCAACTGCCTCAGCCTCCCAAGTGCTGAGATGACAGGCACACACCACCATGCCTGGCAAGAAGACTCCTTGTGAACAAGAAGTTTTTATGAAGTATTTCCATGGCTGTTTGGTATGTTTTCAAATAACATTGTATTTTCAGAATATGTATTCAATCCCAATATATTTTGTTTACTGAAGTATGATTTGCATACAATAAAATGCACAGTTCTCGTCTAGCTTTATGAGTCCTAACAAATTCATGTGCTGATGTGACACCAGCAGAGGGGACTGCCACTCTGATCGCCCCAGAGGGCTCCTGTGTTCCACACACTCTGTTCCCACTCCCAGCCTGGGCAACCACTTCCTAATTCCAGTAGCCATGCACACTTCAACCGACCTTTGAACTTCACATAGCGACACATGTTACTTTTGTGTCTGGTTTTATCTACTCAACGTGTTCTGAGATGATTTATGATATTGTATCAGTAGTGCACTATTTTACTGTTGAGCAGTATTCCTATGCTGGAACAGACACCACCAGAATTTCCTTTTCCATTTTCTTGTTTATGGATGTGGAGATTGTTTTTCCAGTGCTGGACTATGAATTAAGCTGCTAAAGACATTCTTGTGCACATATTTTTGTGCACATATGATTTTCCTCATCAGGGTATTTAGGAGTGGAATTTCTACAGCTGGCTATAGGATGGATAGAAGCTTAACTTTATATATTATATATAAAGAATTCTTTCTTCTATATCACTCAAAACCCCCATCAATATATGAGTTTGAATTATTCTATGTTCTTACCAACCTTTACTGTTTGCTTTAGCCATGTTAGTGGATGTTAAAAAGCAAAATATTTTATTCTAATTCATTAGCTATTCTAGTCAGTGGAAATAGTATTTCTTTTATTTTAATTCCTACTTCTGATGATTAATGACAGCAAACACTTTTTAATGTGCTAATTGCCCATTTATGTATTTTCTTTTGTGGAATACCTGTTCAAGTTTTTGCACTTTTATTACATTATTCTCATTTATATAATCTGAACATCATTTTTGGTCAGATACCTGCATTATAAATATTTTCTTCTCTACTCATGGCTCACCTATTAATTTTCTTAATGATCTCTTTTTATGAGCAGAAAATTTAAATTTTCATGAAGTATAATTTATCAACTTTTATGGCTAAGGATTTTTGTGTCTTAGGAATTTTGTCTACTCTAAGGTCACAAAGATAACTTCATGATAGTTTTTTCTGTTTTCTTACAGAAGCTTTAGTCTTTTGGCTTTACTCTAAAATGGTAATTATTCTTGGATGAATTATTATACATGAAATGAGATATGAAGTAAATAAATTTTGTATATGAAGTGAATTTTCATATGGGCACCATTTATTAAGACTATTTCTCCTACTGAATTGATCTAATGTTCAAAATGTTTAGTAAAGTTAGGTAAGTGTTAATATAAACCAACAATAATACTAGAAATTGGGGCTGGGGATTTAGCTCAGCAGCAAAGCGCCTGCCTGGCAAGCGCAAGGTCGTGAGTTCGATTCCTGGTACCAGAAGAAAAACAAACAAATACTAGAAATCAAATTTTCCAGAGAATGGTGTTTTCTGCAGCATTTAACACATCTCCATGTGATGGCACTGCCCCATGCTGCCATCCCAAGTACACTGGTGGGTCAAGCTGCCCAGGAGCAAGACATTCGAATTAGTGTTAAACAATTACATGGAAAGGGGCAGAGCTGTGGCATATGGAAAGAGAACTGGACGTGAGAGCACCTGGCCCCTGCCATGGCCTGCTGCTCCTCAGCTGTGCTATCATGGCCACCCTCTCCCCGAGCCTCAGTTTCCTCACTTCACAGCAAGAGTGGAGAAAGAGGGGTGGAGCAGACAGGGCAGCTGGCGGGCTACAGATCATGGGGGAGGGACCGTGGCATCACGCACTCTGCTCTCTTGGCTGGGAGAACAGGAGAAGGCAAAGAATTCCAACCATGCTATTGCCAACACAAGTGAGGGCATCTGTGGAAAATATTCCTTGAACCTAAGCCCCAACGCTACAGCTCTGGAAAGTGTCTTGAGTACGAAGTGAAGTTGATTCCTCCTAAGGAAGGGTAAATAACAGTATTTCCTACACTAGCATGAGAAGACTGGCAAGAAGTCAGACTGACGGCCCTGACCCTCAAAGCACTCCATTCTGCCGGGAAGAGGCTGTTCCGACAGAGGAGCACAGGCCTCTTCTGGGTGTCTCCTCACGACTCACTCAGGACAGCGAGCTGGGGACTATGCCCAGCCATGGTGTGATGACAGGCAAAGGGGTGGCTGAGACAGCTGCAGATCTGCCACTCCTAAGTTTACTCGCATCCACTCCGAGCTGACAGGTATGAATTTATTCTCTTGTTCCTTTGGGTAATTGTTCCTTGGTTCTCCTTTCTTCAGGAGGCCAAATGTACTAACATACAAGTGATAACCTTGAGCATTTTAACTTTTTTTCTTAATAGAAATATATTCAGTTTTAAGTATTTTAATGATACTTTTGTATACTTTAATATAATGCAGTTAACATTTTAATATAGCAGCTAGCGGTAGTACTTTTCCTTTATTATGACAAAGAACTGCTAGATTAGACAATGTATTAAACTACCCCATGATGCCAGTAAGAGCTGGCTTTCCTGTGACAGTGTCCTTCATGAAACCCCTCCAGTATTTCATGAGACTGGACTTGATCAGCTGGCTCCCCGACTTGATCTCCTTCTCCCAGAAGCTTGTATATGAGCATGAATAGGAGTGTGGTGCAGAAAGGGCTGAGCCTAGGCTAGGAGAAGGGTCTAAAGAAGTGGGGTAGGTTAGGGTTAGATAAGGTTGTCTACACATGAGAATGATTCCTATTCGAAACATCTACTCCTAGAGTACAGGAGTTGCTTCACATGCCAGATCCATCCTTTCCTGAGATTATGTTAGGCCTATTGTGTACTGTGGGTATGTGTGAGAAAATCTTGAGTTGACAACTGTAGGTTTCTAGAACTGTAGTGGAAGGTGAAGGAAGTACCATACCCTATAGCAAATCAACCATCAAATGAACACCCTCCAGGGAGAGGGTCACCTAAGCATCCTTCTGTGCTGCTCAGAAATGGACATATGAAGTAAGAACTAAAGTCCTTACCCTTCCACATATCTACCTTTGGACATCTACAAAAGCCCACTAATGAATGTGTTCCACAGAATCTGGAGCCAGTGTCCTGTTCTGCCACAGCAGTGATCGTAACATAGCAGCTAAAGAGAAAGGAGGTTCCATGTACACCTTGCAAAATGCCCATGCATACCACAGGGTTGAATCAGGACAGGTGCAGTGGAATGCACTGAGGGATGAGCATTTGATCCTGGAAGAGCCCACAGAAGGGAGTATGAATGCATTCAGGCCACTCAGGGACTAGACAGGTATGAAGAATTTATGTCAGGGTGGCCACAAGATTGATTAACAGATGGACAAATGGACTCCATGTTTACTGTTAGAAATCCTTGTAGGTAAGAGCATTTCAGAGGGCATGTTAGTAACGCACAGCCTGTACTGACCTTGTGGAAATAAAAGGGCTCATAAAGAGGTGCTATGAATGAGTCTACACTAACAAATTGGTCTCGGTAAAATGAGCAGATTCCCAGAAACACACGACCTATTAAGGCTGAATCACGGAGAGCTAAAAAATAGGAATAGATCAATACCAAGTAAAGAAATTGAGTTAACATGCAATCTAATTGGTTTTAAATCTTTAAAGGTACAGACCTGGGCCAAATAAAACAATGTATTTTTATAACACAGGATATTACTTGTGGCACTGGCCACCTTGACACATTCTCATCTGAAGAAAAAATGGACAGAACACCTGTCATGAGGACAATTGTGCTGCATGAAGGGAATGGATTCTGAAATGGTCATTCTTTTCCTCTCAAATAATGTTGCCATCTCCCAGAGAACAGCTTTGGGGCAGGGAAGAATTGTATTTCATTTCAAGCTGGACTACTCATCTACCAAAATACCATTCTGACCAAAGAAACAGATGCAGAATTACAGTCACAGCTGCATTCTGCAGAGAACAAGTTGGATAATGGTACTCTAAATTGCTAGTTACACTGTTAATGATGTTTTTAATGTCATTGCAGTATTTTGCCACCTTTGTATAAAAAATTTTAAAAAGCATCTGAGAAGTTTTTAAAATGGTGAATTTCTGTTTTGTTAAGTACCAGTGAGTCTTCCAAAGAGAAATTCCACACAAAATCCATTTCTTGAAATGGCATTCTCATATGGGATTTTATAGGAGCCCCTTTATTATGAGCTATTTGTTTTAATTTACTTTCTCACCAATTTACTTGCATTTAAGATTACAGAGACCATAAGTATGTCAGTATTAATGTTTGAGTGTTGATCCATAGTTGGTGTGAAAAGATAATAAACTAACATATGTCATGACACAAAGACGAAATTTACCAAAAGTAATAACACCAGTACAATTTTATTTTTATTGTGATAACCATGGTAAAATTTATTACAGTGTTAGCACTCTGTTGTTCAATCCATGCCAACAAAGCTGAAGGAGATAATTACATTTTTAATATGAAAATGTTACTAATGTTTTGATTTCACTTTAGTAGATTAGAGTATGCAGATTTAAGCACTGCCACTATCCCATATCGTTTCTTGTACACTGCAGTACTGAAGTGGTAGATTATTTTTTTCTACCACTAATTCCTACTAAATCATTTTATTAAGGTTTCTGAATAATTTGCTTTTTAAGTGAACACCTGAAGCCAGCCAAAACCTTATACTCATTAGAATTATAAAAATATTTTATATGCAGAAAATGTACCAATCATAACTATCTCACATTGGTTTTTTGTTCATTTGTTTTTTTAAAATTTATTTTAAAAATAAAAGAATGAAAACATATTAACAAACAGACATCCATTTACAAAATAGCATAGTACATTTGTTTTTTTGAGACAAGGTCTCACTATATAGTTCACGCTGTCCTTGAACTCACTATGTAGCCCAGGATGGCCTTGAAGTTGAGGCAATCCTCTTGCTTTAGCCTCTTGAGTACTGGGATTATAGGTGTGCACAACCACACTGGCTACTAAGATTTTGTTTTTTTTTAATTTTCTTTTGTTTTGAGACAGGGTCTTGCTATGCAGCCCAGATTGGCCTCAAATTTATGGTGATCCTCCTGCCTCAGCCTCCCGAGTGCTGGGATTACAGGCAAGCACCACCACACCTGGCTTCACATTGTTTCTTGTTAATTTTTATATCTAGCAAGGTAGATTAGCAGTTTAAAATTACAAGTACATAATCATGCAATCACAAATTCTTATGTAAATACTTACATTTTCTTCTAAATGATCATCCAGTTTCAGTGACCTTTTAACACTGCAAACAAAATATTTAAGGAAATCTTAGATTTGATGTGATTTAACTAGGCACATACTTAAAGAAAAGTAACCACTCTAAGTTACTTTTGCCAAGTAACTTTTATATTATTTATTAAAATAGACTACCATATATGAAACAATTATTCATTGTCTGGTTGGTCTGTTTTTTAACAGATGATTGGTTTTTAATAGCATATTTCAATACAGAATCATAATTAAATAAATATTTAAATGGATTCAGTTTTTTACATGTGTATTTTTTTTTTTTTTTTTTTGTACCAGGAATTGAACTCATGACCTCAGGCTTGCCAGGCAAGCGCTTATGCCACTGAGTTATATCCCCAGCCCCTAAATGTGTAATCTTTTAAACAGACTACCAAACAACTTAAACATTAAAGTCACAAAGTATCTTGGTTAGCATATTTGTCTTCAAAATACCGCTAATAAAAAATTATACATAAGAGCAAATTATTTACATACTTTCAACGGAAATGTTGAGAATATACTATTTGCAAAGCAGTGCCCTAGGCGCTAAAGGTATGGGCAAGGTGAATGGAGTTCTGCACATTACTCCAGCACAGAACATGATTCAGTGAAGCCGGGCTATGACTTCACTGAGGAACAGATGCTCTATGTCTTTATAAGTCCCCAATTCACAAGAAACTATTTTTTGTTTCCTTCACTAAACTGATTCAGGAACATGCCAGGCTCTCTGTGTGCAAAATCTGTTCTGCTAAACTGGATGCCCAGCTGTTGGTGACAATGCTGAGAAAGGAAAGCTGAATATTTATAATACTTTATTTCGTACAGCTGTCTTCTAAAGAGCAGTCATCAACATTTTATTGAATGCATACTAAATGCTCAAAGGAGAAAAAGGTCAATATAAATTAAAGCTAGTTTTCCCAGTGACAAATGCAGCATTAAAAGTACTTTCTTGATCTCTGAGAAACAGAAATTATTTAGAGTATTAGAGAATCAGAGCACTACCCAAAAGACTGCATTACAAATATTGTAATTCAGGACACCTCCCACCCCAATTTGTAAGATCTTACAAATAATTACTGACTTATAAACAAGATAGTCAGTCTTTGAAAATTATTGGGCATTAAATATTAAATAAAAAATTAATCCCTCCAAAAAGGGCTTAATTTTGCCATCATATCTACAGTAGCCGACTGCATTACTTGAGATTGAATTGGCTTAAATATTTATGTCTTTTAGAAGTTCACTTAAGATCAATTTAATGTAAATTTTTAATGAAACAAAACAACAGAGGGATGAACAAACGAAAATGGCAGATAATTTCATTTATTTTTATTTTTTATTTTTTTCTGGTACTGGGAATTGAACTGACAACCTTGCGCTTGCTGGGCAGGCACTGTGTCGCTGAGCTAAATCCCCAGCCCCTGGCAGATAATTTTAAAAAGTAAAATATTTCTGTTAAGCCTTGGAATATATGTTGCCCTATTTAAAAGTACATGAGCTGTTCAACAAACACTAAACTTACAGAGTACAGCATTTCTTATTGTTTTAAAAAGGCAGTAAGATGCAGCATCTAAACGATGTCTTTTGAGACAGATACAGAGTGTACCCTGATATTAACTGTTTACAGTATTATTGCTTTATCACTGGTATGTTCTTAGAGAAAATAAGTCAATGTCTGATTTGAAAGCTTTCTAGATTAGGTCTAGGTGGGTGAAAAAGCCCAAAGAATTACGTAAAAAAGGTAAGAAAATGCACTGAGTTAAAATAGGCTGTCATCTCCCAGATTATGCTTGTTGAGCACCTAAAAACATGATTCACTGAGGGTAATGGAGTATTCAGATAACTCAGGTATCTAAATGTTGGTAATATTTATAAGTATCTTAAGAGACTTACTAGGCAAGACTAAAAGAAAACTAAGAAAATAGTTCAGCTGGTGATAGGGAAAAGTTGTACAACTTGCCTACTGTTGCGTATTTTGAGGGACGGAAACAGATCTCAGGTCTTGTGTATCTTTGTTGAATGGCATGGGTGGTGGTTAAAAGGCAGGTAAAGAACAAACCTAGGGGAATTTATCATCATTTATTCTTACCACTCAATGAGAACGCAACCCATGATCAAGGTACTAATCACTTTTTAAGGTAATTAAGCACCTACTAAACACAAGGCACTCCTTTATCTATAAAAAACTGTAACACAAGAATGAGATGATGCTAAATACAGGATTATGTTAATAGGAACAGAGAAGAAATCATGGACAAAGAAGATATAAAGGTCTAAAAACAGGCAAAACTTGACTAGGAGCGAAACATGGCGGCACATGTCTGTGACCCCAGAACTCGGAAGGCTGGGGGAGGGGAACTGCCATGAGTTCAAGGCCAGCCTGGGTTACGCAGCAAGTTCAAGCCAGCATGCACTACATAGTGAGATCCTGTCTAAAAAACAAAACAAAAAAACAAATAAAACCTTGACTAGGTATCAGATAAACATTTTTTTCTAAAATTTGTTACCAGTATTACAGAACAATTAAAAATGAGTGATATTTCTGGTAGTTGTGTAAAGTTTTTTTTTTTTTTCTGTTACCAGGAATCGAACTCACGACCTTGTGATTGCCAGGCAGGTACTGTGCCACTGAGCTAAATCCCCAGCCTTGTATAAAGTTTTAAGTAGTTCCTACAAATAGGCGCATAAAAATGAGCAAAAGACTTGAATGTGCATTTCTCCAAAGATGCATAAACACCCATTAAGCAACAGGAAAAGATGGTCACCATCTCTAATTATCAAGGAAATGCAAATCAGAACCATAGCAGCTACCATTTCTCAGCTATAAGAATGGCTAAAAAAATGAAAGTGCAAATAACAAGTGCTGACGAAGATATGGAGACACTGGAGCCCTTATCTACTGCCAACGGTATGTGAAATATTGCTGCTGCTGGGGAAAATACCATAGCAGCTCTCTAAATCATTCAATGTGGAATTGCCACACGACAGAGCAATTCCAGTCCCAAAAGAATTGAAAGCCAACACAAATGTTAGCACACCAATGATCGTAGCAGTACTGTTTATAAGAGCAAACAGGCAGAAGCAACCCAAGGGTCCCTGGCAAATATGAATAAGCAAAACGTGGTGTGTGTGTGTGTGTGTGTGTGTGTGTGTGTGTGTGTACTACTCAGCCTTAACAAGGAAGGAAATCTGACAGGTGCTATGACACAGATGAACCTTGAAGACACTACCCTAAACAAAACATGCCAGTCACAGAAAGACAAATACCATATGATTTTACTCATAGAAGTACTCAAATCCAGAGAGAAAAAATACAGTGGTGGTTGCCAGGGGCAAAAGGGAGGAGGGAGGGATGGGAAATGATTATTTAATGGGTAAACTCTCAGTTTTGAGATAAAAAAAGATCTGGGGGTAGGCAGTGGTGATAGCTGCAAAACAAGTGTGAACACTCCTCCCTCTCCGGTGAGCTATCAACTCTGTGGGTAACTTCCCACTTCCAACTTCTCCAAATTTTCACCTATGCCCTTAATTTAAATATTATGTTCCATTTTTAGGTATACTAGGCTTAGATTCACTGGGCTTAAAATTCTAGTTGCTACCAGAATTACTGCTTTTGGAATTTTTAAAGAGATAAAAAAAATCTGACATGTAATTTGATATCAGAAGGAGAATTAGTGATATTATTCTCAAAGACTATCTTGTATTTTATTTCATTACTACATGGTGGTTCCCTGAGTAGGATTCCTTGCAATATTACTAACACGGGTTGCAATACTAAAGAAATCATTCTAGGGGGAAAAAGCTTATCATTTGATTCCTAAACAAGAACCAGGACTGACACCTTAGAAACTAACAAAATTATATAATTTGAGTTCCTTTTTATATGACTTCTAAAACATTAGTTTAAACAGAATTGTGAATGGCAGGGCTGAGGGCGGGAACAGGGGGCGAAGAATAAACTTAGTAAAGCAGATAAGACCCAGGCAGCTTTGATGATATGCCAAATTCTTCCATAAGGTTGGGCAAATCACATAATCTCTCTAAGCTCCATAAGAGTTGAGAGTAATACTGGCCTGTAAAGTAGTAAGAAATATCTGAGTGGAAGATAAAAATATCACTTAGTGTTTCAGAGCTTCCATTTACTCCTTGCTATAATGGGCATAATAATACTGCCAGCTCCCAACTTCACATGAGTGTTTAGAGGATTACGGGGCATGCTCATGAGATGCTTAGAAATCCTTTGATGAAAGGCAAAGGCCAAATTCACATCCCATGTGACTCCCCTAAGTGTAAACTGAGATATCTGAAATGATTTATTTTCCACTCTATGTATGGGAGTGAGCAAACAAGGGAAAATCTTCTATATCCTTTCTGCATTCTCCTTTTCATTCAGGCCCATCTTTCTTGGTGTTCAAAACTTCTAGTGCTCACACAACAAGTGACTACCAGAGACTAGATGAATGGCAAATACCAACTCAGCACAGGCAGAAGGATGGCACTGACTGCAAGTATCTAAGTGAACAATGACTCCTGTTAGTCTCACGGCAGAACTGCCGAGAACTGAGCAATTATTGGGCAAAATGTTTATGGCATCAAAACCTTCCTAATCAGCCACAGAATCTATTCAGATGGAGTACTTGGGAATATTAACCCCACAATACAAACAGACGGTGGTGAGATGCTCTCTGCACTGAAACAAAATGAAAATAAAGCCCTAACCATTTCACAAAAGGGTCCTCCTCAATATGAAATAAAATATTCACTAATATTGCCTCCCAGAAATTTACAATGTACAAGTCTATATTACACATGCCTATAAATACATGAGTATGTATTTAAGAATCTCTATTAAAAGGGCTCAACAGGTCTATCTAAATTAAAACATAGCAGCAGGTGATGTTTTATGCATTTTTCAGTATGAATGATATATCTCATAATGCAAAAAAACCCAAAAACTCTCACTGATGTCCATCCTGCTTCTGAAACTCCAACAGTCATCTCTAGTTTCCCCTA